GAAGTACATATTTATCATACCTACCATAAGCAATGCAAATAGGTGGATGAACGTGTTAAATCTGCAAGAAAAGAAATAGAACAAGCCAAACACGGTTCAATGAAAGCGGAAGAAGGTTAATATTTACATATCACGCAAAAAGTTCACATCTTAGAATAGTTAATGTGGTATTTTATATGCAAATAAAATAAACTTAAAGACTGATAAAGAAGTCATGGTTTGAATTTTATAATAGAATATTTTGTATGAAGTTAATTGCAAGGTTAAAATACTGCAGATAAAAATGATGAGGTTAGTATCGGAAATTTAAATGCCATGTATCGCTGTCTTTTTTTTTTTTTTTTTTTTTTTTTTTTCTTTCCTTCTTCATTGCTGTCTTTTCATATAATGTTTTTCAAATTTATAAAGATTTGTTTTAATGTTTTATGATAGATAGCAGCTACATAACGAAAGTTGTTTTTCAGGCAGGTGTTGACTTCAGTACATGGATGTGCAACGTATGCAACAAATGTCAGTGCTAATAAAACAAAAAAAATTAATTCGTCTTTCGTTGTCATTATAAGATATAAATCAGTAAAATAGAAATGAAAATATTTTAGCTATGGTATCTTGTTAGACTGCTTTTCGTTACTTTCTAAGTTTTGCGAAGAGCTGAATATTTTTTCTAACTTTTGCTGATAACAATCCATTTCAAGATTATTTAACAGTACCCTTTAAAACGCAGTTCCCAACAACATTATCAAAATAAAGTATGGCAGGATTTTCAACTTATCATGCAGTTCAAGTATGCTCAGTTAGACGAAACAAAAATAAATTCAACTCTGATTCTTTTTTCTTTGGGGGTAGGGAGGGGTAGCTAAAAGTGAACAAGATCTAACAGCTCTTCCAGTTTTAACTTCTAAAAACCAATCCCGCAGTCATTCCACAACGCCCGAAAAAGGCCATGCGGGATCTAGGCATCAGTTCAAAAGCAGCAATAATTCCGTGTAATTTGAGATGGCCAAAACGAAAAGCATGGACTATAGATACTGGCACGATGAAATGCGTTGAAGCTGCTGTCGGAAAGTTGTAAACTGGTGCAAGACAATCCGCTGTTACGAGAGAGCTGAATTTGCCTCTTAGTGTCATCAACAGGCTGTGGAATCGTTATTAAACCTCTGTAGATCAAACCCCTGTTGGGATTTAAAAAAAAACCTGTAGAAGACGTGGGTCTGGACGCCGGAGGATTATCACAACAGCAAAAGGTCACTTCCTGTTGCTGTGGACAAGATGTCGTGCTGTTACATCACTAATAGTACGACAGCTGTCATCGCATCTCTCTGCTGCTGCAGGAAGGCCCATATCCCGTCAAATTCTATCGCGTCGGCTGCATGAAGGTGGAATGTAAGCCCGACAACCTGTGGTTTGTGTTCTTTTGCCCTGATCGGATGTCAGAACGCGGTTGAACTGGGCCCCTCAGCATCCCATTTGGACACCAGAGCACGTATTCTTTAATCCAGAACGATTCCCGAAGGGCAATAATACAACGAGAGACAGGCACACGCTATCGGACGCTAAAGGATCGTTAAAAGTGACCATTATAGAGATGGAGTCTTACTTGTATGAGGTACTATAGAAAGAAATGAACGGTCGCACTTATTTCTACTTGATTGACTGGTGTTTCCGTCCCAGCCGTTCGATATCACGACGAAATTCTACACGATGTGCGTTCTTTTACCGCTGCAATAGGTACCGACGCGATATTTATGAATGATAACGCCCGCCCGCGTATAGCTCGAGCGGTGCGGAGTTATCTGGAGAGTGAAACGATTCCACATCTGCCATGACTGCTAGATCAACGGACCTGAATCCCATACAGCATGAGTGGGACAGGTTAGGACGATGGATAGCAGGTCGCAATGTGCCGCTAGGCAACCTCCAGGAACTCCTCCTGCTACATTTAAATGGGGGCTCATTGGTCTTGTAATAAGGGAATGAACACTAAGTTGGTAGGTCTCAGAGCCAGATGGTTTCGTGTCCTTAATGCGATAAAAGACAGGGACACGCTATCGAGCGAGAGATAGGTAACAATTTTAACAAAATGCAAAGGATATTTGCAAACGAAATTCAGGTTTGTATAGCTCTATGTTCGGTAATGCTACAATTTACTCTATGTTCGGTATTATCTACTTCAATGAAAAAGATTTTATCTGGGCTAATAATATTTCGTATTAAATATAAATGTTTAACGAAACAACATTCAGAGATGTGAAAGACGGTACAATAGCGTTCCACATCTACCCTCTCAAAAGACTCCTCAAACTGCTTCCTGTTTTCGAAAAATTCATGCCTCCCCCACCCCACCGAACTGGATTCTCAGTCTCTTGCGTTTAATGAAAAAAATATAAGAATCATAGAACCATTTTAAATAAAATTTCCACAAAATTATGTTCTTTTAAATTCCATGCCCATACACAGAACTAGTTTTAAAAGTTGCTGATAAGCTTCTTAAGGAATACACAGAAAACCTGGATGACAGTAGTTTTGAAATAGGAACTACTGCCCTCTGAAGTATTTCCCGAGTGTGCAGAATCCATATTTGGATACAACTTCAGCACTGCACACGTAGGAGGCGCAGGACAACTTGACGAACTTTTAAACTTGTTCTAATTTTTGGTATCTTGTGTTTGCTTCTTTTTTCTTTGTCTTCCCTTTTATCTTTCTCTGCCTAAAGGCTCTGCCCACTTACCTTCTGCATTTAGAGGAGGGGGGATATCGTTACATGAAGGAATTTAAATGTGAGTGTAATCGCATTGTATGAAGAGACGCTGGACTGGATATAGTACCAGTCGGCCTTGACCTACATTTGTTTCAGACAGTGTTTTTGTATCATTCTTACGTGTACCTTGTTATTCGTACGCTCAGAGGTTACTGTCAACAGACAGTCAAAGTCAACTCATATTGTCAGAAACTCAGTGACGTCTCATACTTAATAATTACTCCCACTTTTTCTTATGTGAATAAAAATGTGCCGTTTAATATTACTGCGACGGCAAGTTAAGCAATAAATAGTATTTCCCTTGATTGCTGATTTAAAATAAGATGCCTGAAATATCCCCCCCCCCAAAAAAAAAGCATTAATTGAATTCAAAGTAACAGAGGAATATTTGTTTTAGAATTCAATGAATCAAAAATTTATACCACAGGTAAGAAATCCTTTTTACGATCAAAAGGCAAATTTTAATTAAGAGACATGCTGGCCTCATCATGAGAGTTCAGTGCGACTTTTAAAGAATTATCGCAATTATAGGTCTATAAAAGACTAATTCAAAGAAAATAGTATAAAAACGTCTCATAGATGCAAAATGTTTCATCACAATTTACATTTAATAGAATATTATAAAACCAAACACAGTTCATTTGTTAGAAAAGGTGCCTGAGTACTTGCTCAGATACTCGACAGGAGAAAATATTTTAGATAAAACAACTCCATTTAAAGAGAAATTAAACTTAAAACAACTGCAATTTTTAATGTCACTGTGATAACCTGAAAATGTTTGTGCCATGCTTACTTTGACAAGAAGCATCACGAAAACGGTTACAGAAATAATTTCATGATACCTAATTCTTCAGTTGTGAATTATTTCACAATTAATTAGCAAGATCCATTCCACTAGCTTTTAATAAATTAAAATCGTTTTAGATTTCAATTTACAACACATCCATTTTCCAAAATAAAATTTTGTTAGTTTTGCCGAAATAATAATTAACTGATTAACGAAAGATAATGAAAAAATTTATTTTTAAAGTGTATTCTATTTCTTCAATTCTAAGACACTACCGATGGTAAGATGCAACACTAAATGCCAGTAACATCAATAATATTTAAAATATTTAATTAAAGAAAACTAAATAAATAAAATAAAACTCTAAAATATATGTAACAAATACTTTTATTTTTGTAAAAATTCAATTTATTAAAAACAATACCACTTAAAAATTATTATTCATTCATCGCTTGGATCAGAATAAGAATGTAATTCTTTTGAACAGGTGGATATATGCATCCATATATCAGAATCTTCTTAGAGTCGTATCTTTCTGTTATGATCATGTTATATTAAGTTCTAAATGTCTTTCATAATGAAGACGGAAAAACTAAACTTAAACCATTTTAACTATCATCTTGATCTAAATATATAAGAATGAAGTAGATTCCGATTTCATTCTGATTTAAAATTAAAGTTACTTCACATTCATATATTTTGATTGTGAGGTTTATAATGGAGAAAAAAGCTACCAATAAATAAAAAATGCTTCTGAGCCATTTCCTTATCCCATAGTATAGTCTCTCCCCGGCACCAAAAATGCATTTTTCAATGCATGAAAACAAACAGCGCGGGAAAACTGAGAACAAAATATGATGCTGTAGATGCAGCATATTTTCAGAATTGTTTATATGTGGGGAAAAACTACATCTCAAAATAAAATTTAAAAAATGCAGCGATTTAGAAAATCCTTGTTTGTTTCAAAATAAAAAGATAAAAATACATGATATTTTAAATTTTTAAATAATTGTACACAATTTAATAACTTTAAACAATTATCAAAATTATAACAGAAGAACATTTAACTTAATTAATTGTATAATTAAAAAGTATAAACAATATCTCTAAGACAAGGAAAAAAACATTTTTTTTTTGAAAGTTTACATATTTTTCGCACACCACATATATTATGTTATTAAGAAACACTAATACTCGTACTTTAGCATTTAGCATCAGCATAATCCAAATGAGCTGAAATCAAATAAAATTGTTCTAAAAAATTTGTTATAGATTCTACAAATTAAAAATTTCAGATGTAAAAAAAATGTTTTGCTATCAAATTTCTTCCATGTTATAAGCAATAAAAATTAATAAATAATTTTTTATATAAATATTTCCAAAGCAGTTAAAGAAAATGTTGGTATAATTAATTCTCTTTCATGCGTTTAAGAATGTGCAAAAAGTATTACTTACAAATAAATTTTCATTTTTATTGATGTTGAAGCTATATTCCTTTCATCTGTTAATAGAATTTATTTGCGCCCACGGTATTACCTTTCTTTCGAACGTAGACAGTATTACGAGACTAACTTTGATGATCGCGGGAAGATGCATCCGTTGCGCCCCTCCTCTTCCTAGTCATGTGTCTTCTCTGCGCGTCATCATAGGTGGACAAATTGCTCCTCGAGTTCTGACGGTTTTTTCGTTCGTTTGTTTACTTATTTTTATTTTATTTATTCCTGCCTGTAGGAAATTAAAGCTGCAAGTTTTTGATTACAGATGATTAGGGATTTAGACACATCTAGAGTGTCACATTACCTGTATTCGTAATTTATTCCAATTACTTTTTAGCGTACTTTTTTAAAAGTGGAAATTCCATCGCAACGTTCCGCGACAAATTATCAGTTGGAACACGAACTCTTTAAAACGAATAAAATATTAATTTCTTGCAACGATAAAATTATCCCTTTCAGTCGGAAATGCAAGAGAAGTTAAAAGAAGGCAGGGAGATATTTTTCCCCCTATGATTGACTATTTAAAGCATTAGTAGTCAGTAAATAAACAAAATTGTTGCTACTCCTAGTTTAGTGATACGTGAAGCCGCGGATATGATACAGAATGTTAATTATGAAGCAATATTTATGGCATAGATATAGAATACAATGAAATTTAATTGATAATTTATAGCAAGCCATCAAAAACGTTAACTAACGTAACAGCGAATGTATTGTGCACTGTACTTCACATTCTCTGAATATACTTTTCTGTGTTTTCCGAACGTATGAAAACAAGGGTTTCGGACATCTAAGCTCAGTCCTTTAGTCGAGGCAGAATAATAAGAATCATACTTTAACACTACATTAAACAGAGGAACAGGGCGGATGAAGGGTGGTTGGGCCCAATCGGGCACCGCATTTGAAAGGGCCCCGTGTTACCATCAAAATGAACCAAAAAAATTTTTCGAAATTCAAAGCTGCTAGATGAGATTTATTAATGTGTTTATTATTATAGTATAATATAGAAAAGTGAAGACGCAAAGAAATTAGATTTTCAAATAATTTTAGAAGAATTTACAGAACAAAAACTTAGAAATATGTAAATTCCTGTATTCATATTCGGTGATGTAAATTTATATTCAATAAATGTTTTTGTATTTTGAATATTTTTATTTTTTAATTTATGTAGAAGTTTACCTGTCTGATGATCCATGACATTTGATACATATATATATATATACTGAATTTGAATTTTATTTAAATATTTAATATAGAGAGAGGGCCCCCGTAAAAAAAAAAATCCAATCGGGCTCCGCACCTATTCGATCCGTGCCTGCAGAGGAACATTTGTTTACGCAGTGCTTTTGTGTTCATGATCCAGAATGATGTGAGAAGACAGTTGTACGGATTATTTTAAATATTAATTGTTATTTTTAATTTTGGAACCCTTTCCCTTAATTTCTTGCTTTCTACCTACAACGCCCTTCCAAAATGATATTTCAATATCGCGTGTTATGTAAATGAAGTAGAACCAGTATTTAATGGTAAGTTCAGTCACTTCCGTAGAAGAGCTCAGAAGTTTTCAGTAAAGCGTGTTCTACCTTCAAGCCACTCGTTTTTTAAGCCTATCTCAATACGTTCTGCCGTAGTTTTACGTGCCTGTTAGTTTTCGCCGATAAGGTTTAATTACTGTCCAACTTGGTTATTTATTATTGTATAGCTTCGGCTAAAATTTAGCTAGTTTAAAGTGACCACACGTCCCGATTTTGGCGGGACAGTCCCGCGTCCCGAGGATTTTTAAGAATGTCCCACTTTTTAGAAAACATCTGCATTTCTTATTTTAAATGTGCTGTAAAAATATATTATTATTTATTAATTATTATATCGAATATAAAGAAATAAAAAACACATAAAATACATGCAGAGTAAACTAAATTAGGCGATGTAACGAGTTAGATTTACTCTGTGAACGAATATGAATTGTTAACGGAGGAACAGCTAGCATTAGCTGAAGGGCTATTTGCTTTCCACACCATAAACCACAATCAAAGTTTCAAATTAACTGATTGTACGGCGCAAATGATCAAAACATTGTACGACAAAAATTATGCATGTGCTAGGACAAAAACCGAAGCAATTATTTGTAATGTTTTTTCACCGTGTTCGTTTTCACAATTGCAGAAAGAATTAGATAAATGCACATTTATATCCATATATTGTGATGCTTCCAACCACAAAGATTTAAAATTATTTCCCAGAAGTGCTAGACCCAAAACCAGGAATTAAAATTAGAATATCAGATTCTGTTTCATTGGCGGGTGAAACTTTTTTTTTTTTTTTCCAATGGCACAGTGAACGGTTACAGTTTTCTAACAGAGTTCATTAATCTATACTAAGGCCAGATGTGGTGGTCTCTTTATTATGGAGACACCTAATAGGTGGGTCACCGTTGCCTCCTATGAAGGAACGGAGAATTACAACCATGCCTTCTCCGCGATTCGAACCCAGGCCCTTCGGTATCGCAGTCAGGCTCCCCTACCCACTATACCGTCTGGGCGACTGCCGGGTGAAACTTGACAAATAATTTTTAATTCCAGAAGAACTATTTAAAAAAAAAAAGAATAATTTGAACAATAAAATCACTGCCTATTGTGAGACAATAATTTTATTCTTGACACTAACGCAAATTTTGGTGGAAAAGCTAGAAGAGGCATCAATAACGTTTTTGCGAAACTTAACGAATGTTTGAACCAAAAAATTATTCGAGTAGGTTGTGCAGCACACATTCTACACAATACTATTCAAACAGCATCCGACTTACTTCCAGCGGATGTTGAAAATATTATTGCAAAAATTTATTCGTATTTTTATATATATACTGTATTTTTATATATATATGTGCGTGTCGAACGTTTGAAGGATTTTCGTGAATGTGCAGAAATCGAATATAAAAGAACTACTAGTTACAGCAAAACACGATGGCTAGCTCTTTTACCAGCTGTAGAAAATATTTAAAAAGTATACGAACTATTAAACTCATACTTTTTATCACAAGATAAATGTCAAAGAATATTGAAAATGACACATCACAAATTTGTCTTCAGTTCATGCACAACCAAGCTATATTATTTCACAACGCTGTGAAAATTATTGAAGGGGACAAATTTAATTTAAAAACAAAATTGCTACAAAGAATTGATAACGATTACATTCCTTTAGTTATTTGAAAGGACATCACTAGGTTGGAAGAACAAGGTGCCATATTAAACGACCTGATTTTCTGAAAGAAGACAGAAATTTTTATAATAACTGCTTAGAATATCTTGAACAACGGACAGTTCAATTCGAGGATATTAAAAACTTTCATTGGGTGACATTAAAAAAGGAGATTTTGTGGGAATATGTGGAAAAATCTTTTTAATATATTAGTAACCATTTTCCGAAAAATAATATTTGCGAAAATGATCTTTTTGATAAGGCGTCATTGGTAAAAAGATACGTTACTGATGAAAAAATTAAATGTTGGTTGTCTGCAAACGTGGAAACAGACAAAAAATGGACGGAGCTATTCCTTCATTTTAAACAGAATACTTATGAAAATATTTTGAAAATTGTAGAACACGCGCTCTCCCTTCCAGGAACAAATGCAGCAACAGAACGTGTTTTTTCTAGTATCTATAAAATAAGGACAATTGGAAAAAAAACGCATTTGAACATTAAAATTTTAAAATCTGTACTAAGCCTAAAATATAATTTAGCCTAAAACCTAAAATATAATCTGTACTAAGCCTAAAATAAATTCGTGTGAGAAATTTCACGACATTTTAATAAATGATTCGAATCTATTGCAAAGTATTCACTCAGATAAAAAATATAATCGTGAAAGAAAATCATAATTTTTAAATGAAATATTGATTAAAAAAACATAATATTCAAATTATTGTTTTTTAAAAATACTTTTATAGTTACCAATAGTTAATAATAAATATATTTTTTATATTTATAGACAAGTATATAAATGCATATAATAAAATATTTTTTTTGAATTATTGGTCTGCTTTCATAACTAAATTATAATTATCATATTATTCCATTTGTCCCGCTTAGTCTCAATGAAAATGAGGTCATTTAAGCTAGTTTCTTATTTCCTGTCTTAATTCAAAGCCCTAATGGAGGCTTTCCTGTAAGCCCGAGAAGGTGCAGAGAGTATTAGTTCTGTGAGTAAGTAAAAGGGTATTTTAACCTTTCTTTAGACTCATTCTTACAGTATTAAGCAGTGTTGCCAGATCGTGCGATGTTTCGCAAATTTGCGTCTTTCGACAAACTTGTGCTACTAAAATTTTAGTATTTGCGATTTTGTGAAATTTTTGCGACATTATGCTACTTCAAAGATTTTTTTAATATCGTAAAATGCGAAGCGATAATTCGCTCCAAGTCTTTTAGGAGTTTATGCTAACAAAGAAGACTAAACATTATAACTTAAAAACTTTTTTTTTTTTTTTTTTTTCAAATTACCTGAGGAGTTGCATTAAAATGACGATAACTGAAATCTCAAATACCCAGGTAAGCAAATATGGGACATGAATATGTACTGCAATACACCTTTTTTGCATTTTATATGCTAAGTGATACATTAGTGGAAGATATGAGTAAAAAATGCAGATATTTATAGTCTAGAAATGTTAGATATGATTGTTGTCAATGCCATTAATAATGTCACAGATTAGAACAATTCTCTCAACAACGCTTTTTAATTTTAAATTTTATATTAATCTAAAAGCATTATAAAGTATTTACTAACTCTCAGTATTTATTTCTTACTTCTTTCTTGGAAAAATTACGATTACAGTGCACTAGAAGGAAGGGCACCCAGACCTAGCAAGCACAAGACTACGTTAACGCAAGTGTATGACGCAACCTTTAGAGGCGCGCCAAGAAGGCATAACATTCCCGATCCACCCGGAGGGACGACTTTTTGTTTCACTGCAGTCTAGGTAATAAATTACAAGTCAATGGTGGACGACTGCATTATTCACAGAGAAAGCATAGAACCAAAGAATTTGTAAGGATGCTACAGCTACAGCTTTGCTATGATCAAAGAAATCTCTGATAAATTTTGTGCTAAAAATATGTCATAAAAAT